GCTCTATCCACTGAGCTACAGGCGCATCAAGCATTCTTGTAAAATCTTGTAGTTACGTTAGAAATAATCACTTTCCGAACATCTCATTCCTTTATCCCATGCCAAAAATTGGGTTTTGGTGGTTTGGAGTTTTGTTTTCGAATAGCCAAACTGAAAACTAAATGACAAGGAACACACTAGGTTGGGATCGAACCTACAACTTTCTGCTTAAGAAATAGACGCTCTATCCACTGAGCTACAAGCACATTGAGCATTCTTGTAAAATCTTGTAGTTATGTCAGAAATAATCATTTTCCTAACAACCCAAGGTAGGGGTCACATCTCATTCCTTTATCCCATGCCAAAAACCCAGACGTGCGCACCAGGTAGGGGTTGAACCTACGACTTTCTGCTTAGGAAACAGACGCTCTATCCACTGAGCTACAGGCGCATCGAGCATTCTTGTAAAATCTTGTAGTTACGTTAGAAATAATCATTTTCCGAACATCTCATTCCTTTATCCCATGCCAAAAATTGGGTTTTGGTGGTTTGGAGTTTTGTTTTCGAATAGCCAAACAAATGACAAGGAACACACTAGGTTGGGATCGAACCTACAACTTTCTGCTTAAGAAATAGACACTCTATCCACTGAGCTACAAGCACATTGAGCATTCTTGTAAAATCTTGTAGTTATGTCAGAAATAATCATTTTCCTAACATCCCAAGTAGGGGTTCACATCTCATTCCTTTATCCCATGCCAAAAACCCAAACGTGCGCACCAGGTAGGGGTTGAACCTACGACTTTCTGCTTAGGAAACAGACGCTCTATCCACTGAGCTACAGGCGCATCGAGCATTCTTGTAAAATCTTGTAGTTACGTTAGAAATAATCATTTTCCGAACATCTCATTCCTTTATCCCATGCCAAAAATTGGGTTTTGGTGGTTTGGAGTTTTGTTTTCGAATAGCCAAACAAATGACAAGGAACACACTAGGTTGGGATCGAACCTACAACTTTCTGCTTAAGAAATAGACACTCTATCCACTGAGCTACAAGCACATTGAGCATTCTTGTAAAATCTTGTAGTTATGTCAGAAATAATCATTTTCCTAACATCCCAAGTAGGGGTTCACATCTCATTCCTTTATCCCATGCCAAAAACCCAAACGTGCGCACCAGGTAGGGGTTGAACCTACGACTTTCTGCTTAGGAAACAGACGCTCTATCCACTGAGCTACAGGCGCATCGAGCATTCTTGTAAAATCTTGTAGTTACGTTAGAAATAATCACTTTCCGAACATCTCATTCCTTTATCCCATGCCAAAAATTGGGTTTTGGTGGTTTAGAGTTTGTGTGCTAGGTAGGGGTTGAACCTACGACTTTCTACTTAGGAAACAGACGCTCTATCCACTGAGCTACAGGCGCATCGAGCATTCTTGTAAAATCTTGTAGTTATGTCAGAAATAATCATTTTCCGAACATCTCATTCCTTTATCCCATGCCAAAAATTGGGTTTTGGTGGTTTAGAGTTTGTGTGCTAGGTAGGGGTTGAACCTACGACTTTCTACTTAGGAAACAGACGCTCTATCCACTGAGCTACAGGCGCATCGAGCATTCTTGTAAAATCTTGTAGTTATGTCAGAAATAATCATTTTCCGAACATCTCATTCCTTTATCCCATGCCAAAAATTGGGTTTTGGTGGTTTAGAGTTTGTGTGCTAGGTAGGGGTTGAACCTACGACTTTCTGCTTAGGAAACAGACGCTCTATCCACTGAGCTACAGGCGCATCGAGCATTCTTGTAAAATCTTGTAGTTACGTTAGAAATAATCACTTTCCGAACATCTCATTCCTTTATCCCATGCCAAAAATTGGGTTTTGGTAGTTTGTTTTCGAATAGCCAGCCAAACTGAAAACTAAATGATAAGAAACACACAAGGTAGGGGTCAAACCTACGACTTTTTGCTTGGAAAACAGACCACTGAGCTACAAGCGCATCAAGTTACAAACGCTCTATCCACTGAGTTAGGGGTTGAACCTACCACTTTCTACTTAGGAAAGAACCTACCACTTTCTACTTAGGAAACAAACGCTCTATCTACTGAGTTAGGGGTTGAACCTACCACTTTCTACTTAGGAAACAAACGCTCTATCCACTAAGTTACAAGCGCATCGAGCGTTCTTTTAAATTCTCTTGCCATTACGTTAGAAATAATCACTTTTCGAACAACATAAGAATAAGAAATGCACCATGTATGGGTTGATCCTACAACTTTAATCATAGGAAATAGACACTTTATCCACTAAGCTAGTTGAACATTTTTGTAACCTTTTGTAGTTACATAAGAAATAATTACTTTCCAAACATATTATTCCTTTTATCCCCGGCCAAAAACTAGGTTTTGGTGGTTTGAAGTTTTGTTTTCAAATAGCCACACTTGAAACTAAATGATAAGAGACACGCCGCCGGCGCTGCCACCAGGGTCAAACCTAACTTTCTGCTTAGGAAAGAGACACTCTATTCACCTGCATTGAGCATTCCGGTAAATTCTTGTAGTTAAGAAGTAATCACTTTCCGAACATATCATTCCTTTTATCCCCATGCCAAAAAATGGGTTTTGGCGGTTGGAGTTTTGTTTTCAAATAGCCATACTAAAAACTAAATGATAAGAGACACGTGCACCAAGTAGGGGTCAAACCTATGACTTTCTACTTAGGAAATAGACACTCTATCCACTGAGCTACAGGCACATTGAGCGTTCTTGTAAAATCTTGTAGTTACATCAGAAATAATCACTTTCTGAACATATCATTTCTTTTATCTCCATACCAAAAAATGGGTTTTGGCGGTTGGAGTTTTGTTTTCAAATAGCCATACTGAAAACTAAATGATAAGAGACGGTCGAACCTATGACTTTCTGCTTAGGAAACAGACGCTCTATCCACTAAGCTATAGGCATTGAGCATTTTTGTAAAATCTTGTAGTTACATAACAAATAATCACTTTCCGAAACATATCATTCCTTTTATCCCCATGCCAAAAAATGGGCGGTTTGGAGTTTTGTTTTCGAATGGCCAAATTGAAAACTAAATGGTAAGAGAATATAAGAAAAATGCCAAGTAGGGGTTGAACTTACAACTTTCTACTTAAGAAACATATGCTCTATCCACTGAGCTACAGGCGCATTGAACATTCTTGTAAATTCTTGTAGTTAGGTCAGAAATAATCACTATCCAAACATAACATTCCTTTTAAATTCTTATAGTAATAATCACTTTTCGAATATATCATTCCTTTTATTCCATGCTAAAAAAGCATTTGAGGTTTGAAGTTTTGTTTTTGAATAGATAAATTAAAAACTAAGTGATAAGCAACGCGCCGTAGGGGGTCGAAACTGAGCTACACGCATTGAAGTCAAAAATCTGGGTTTTGGTGGTTTAGAGTTTGTGTGCTAGGTAGGGGTTGAACCTACAACTTTCTACGTTCTAGGTAGGGGATACTTAGGAAACAAACGCTTTATCCATTGAGCTACGCGCATTGAAGTAAAAAATGTGGGTTTTGGTGGTTTAGAGTTTGCGCGCTAGGTAGGGGTTGAGAACCTACAACTTTCTACGTGCTAGGTAGGGGATGCTTAGGAAACAGACGCTTTATCCACTAAGCTATAGGTGTATTGAGCATTCTTGTACATTGTTGTAAATTCTTGTAGTTACATAAAAAATAATCACTTTCTAAACATATCATTCCAAGTAGAGGTTGAACCTATGACTTTTTATTCAAGAAACAAACGCTCTATTCACTGAGCTACCGACACATTGACTATTCTTTTATCCCATGTGCTTTTTGTCTATAACGACATCCTTGAACTTATAATTCTTAAGAATCAAATGTTAAGGATTCATTCAAAGTATACTTCAAGGTAATCTCATGCAAAAGAGCAAAATAATACTGAGTAATGCAAAAGAGCAAAATAATACTGAGTAAAACTGAAAACAACGCGCCAGGTAGGGGTCGAACCTACGACTTTCTGCTTAGGAAACAGACGCTCTATCCACTGAGCTACAGGCGCTTGTTGACCCTAATAACCCAAAAAACAAAAAATTATAAAATTTTTGTAAAAATAATTTTTTTTTATAATTTTTTTTAATAATAATATTACTTTCTTTTTAAATATTATATCACAGAGGGTTTTTTTTTTTTTTTTTTTTTTTTTTTTTTTTTTTTTTTTTTTTTT